ATATTAAAAAATAAAATATTATTACATTTAAATAACATAAATAAGATAATTTAAATTAAAATTTAAGTTAAATACTTTTTTTATCCTCTACTTTTTAAAAAAGGCTTTTTCTAATTCTTATACTAAAATTTTTTTTCTAATCATGAAAGTTTAAAAATTTTAACTTCCTTTTAATATTTTTCGTTAAATTTTAATGAAACATATTAATTAAGAAAAAATGTATTTTTTTTACTTAAATTACATGAAATATTCATATGATAAAAATTAATAATATGATTAAATTTTTTATTAATATAACCTTAAAATCATTTAATTATATAATTATTAATATAAATATTATAAAGTTTATTATTCTCCCATTCCTATTCCTCTACTGTTTTTTTCTTTGTTTTTTCTTTTCACCTTCAGGTTCGCGCGAACCCAGGCGCGGGGTTCATTGCGGAACCCAGGAGCTGGGTTCGCTTGGGTTCGTCTCGGAACCCAGGGGAGGGGTTTGTGATGAACCCGCGCCTGGTTCAAGATGAACCAAGCTCCTGGGTTCGTCTCGAACCCAGCTCTTGGGTTCCGCGACGAACCCTACGCTTGGGTTCGTCTCGAACCTAGCTATTGGGTTCCGCGACGAACCCTGCGCCTGGGTTTGTCTCGGAACCCAGGGGAGGGGTTTGCGACGAACCCGTGCCTGGTTCGAGACGAACCAAGCTCTTGGGTTCATCTCAGAGCCCAATCGTTGGGTTCGTCGTGAACCCAAGCGCTGGGTTCGTCTCGAAACCCAAGTGCGGGGTTCGTCGCGAACCCAGCTTCTGGGTTCGTCTCCGAACAGAAGCTAAAGGGATTTTTGGTTTAGGGGGAAAGAAAATGAGGAAGAATACGGTAAGTATTTTCGGTTTATTTCTTTAATTGGATGAGGAATAAGATACTTAAGTATTTTTGGTTTGTTTCTGTGATTGGATGAGTATTTTCGATTTGTTTCTGTGATTGGATGAGGAAGAAGAAACAAATGTGCTTGGGGCTGGTTGGTTTGATGTTATAAATTGGTTGTTTATATAGTAGCTTTTTTGTAAATAAAAGGAAATGTGAGGATAAAATGGGGAGATCATGTCAATTTCATTAAACATTTAAGCGAGAAGCTCTCACGGAAGTAAGAAATGGGAGCTTCCGGGCTTTGTAAAGGAAAGGTGAGAAGCTGAGCTTCCCAAAAGCTATAGCCACTTTAGGAAGCTGACCCGTTTGGTGTAGCTTGTGCTTTTAAAGCCAAAAAGCTCTTCCCACAATCTGCACCAAATAGGCCCTTAATAGAAACAACTTTATAAAGACCTTTCTAATTAGGGGCAAGCTTGCCCAAGTGTGAGTATACATTAGTGAGCTTGGCTTTGTGTAAAACCAAGTCACCTACTTGAAATTGGTGGTGCAAAACTTGCTTATTGTACAGGTTGGCCACGTGGCCTTGATACGATAAAGATTTTAAGTAAGTTGCCTCCCTTATTTCTTTTATAAGATCTAAATTTTCATGAAGTTCTTGTTCGCTAGTAACTTCGTCAAACTGAGTTGCTCTTTAACTCGATAAGCCTACCTCAACAAGAGTGACTACTTCAGTCTCACAGGCCAAGGAAAATGGGGTTTCCCTTCTAGCTAAGCTGGATGTTGTTATGCAAGACCACAAAACATTATTCAACTCATCAAGGCATCTCGTTTGAGCCTCGTTTGAGCAACCATAATACATGCTTTAAGGTTATTAGGACAATCTTGTTTGTGGACTCCACTTGGCCATTTGTCCAAGGGTTATATATAGATGTAAGAATAAGTTGAATTCAATAATCTTCATAGAAGGTTTTAAGGGCTACAACTTGAAATTCAGGGCCATTTTCTACTATAATGCATCGTAGAACCCCATATTTGCATATAGATAGGTAAGCTAACCATTTTGACTAGTATGTGATATATATGTATACATGGTTCGACTATATCATTATACTTGCATAAAACCGAGTTAAATAAAAATTTCTCGACTCTTTTCTTAGTAATTGTAGACAATAGTTTGGCTTCTAACCACTTGATGAAATAATCCATAGTAACAATAAGGTAAGTATAGCCTTATCTGCCCCTTATAAAAAAACCAAGAAAATCCACATCCCATTGAGTGAACAGCTAAAGGGAAGCAAGGGAAGATATCATTTCTCTTGAGAATCAAGAAAAGCAAATTCAACCATTATAAAGGCATGGTTAACCTTACAAGATTCAAATAGGGGTGAGCTAGTTTACCTAGCATGTGATTATCATTGGCATGAAATTAATAAGTAAGACACTTTCTAACATAGTTTTGAGCATCCTCAACCATTTATGGCAAGTAATACCCTTCCCTTAGAATTTTTTGAGCCAGTGTTTTTCCACTGACATGCATGCTACAAACTTTCTCATGGAATTCTCACATAGCATACTCAGCTTCATAATAAGTAAGGCATCGTAATATAGGCATGGATGCTACTTGCTTATATAAATAGCCATTAACTAGATAGAAACAAGCTACCTTACGCCTAATTAATCAAGCTTCAAACTCATCATGAGGCAATATTCCTAACTTGAGATACTCAACTAATGGTGTGGTCCAACTCGAATAGGATGGGTCAATACTTAACACCATATAGTCAACATTGGTGAAATTAACATAGCTTGATGTTTCTAAGGTTTCAACATAAATTGTCCATTGAGAAGATATTTCTTGAGAGGAATCCAACTTGGATAACTCATCAACCTGTTAATAGTCAGCTTGAGGGATCTTGTCAATCTGAAAAGACTTGAACTTGTCATTTAAATAGGTAACAACTGCACAATAGCGAGCTAACTATGAGTTCTTAATATCACAATTAGCGTTCACTTGGTTAATAATGAGTTAAGAATTGTTAAAAACTCTTATAGCTTTGACCTTGAGCTTTACAGCTAGCTTGAGCCCAAAGATCAAAGCTTTATATTCAACAACATTGTTAGTTGTAAAGAATTTAAACCAAAGAGCATGCTCACTTTTGAAGCCATTTGATCCAATCAAGACTGCTCTTGCCCCTAAGCTTTCCACATACAAAGCCCACAGAGGATATGAGGGGGTTGCTTCCTTTATTGTCATAGGCACTCACTCGACCATAAAATCTACTAAAGCTTGCTCCCTGATGATGTTGCGAGGTTCAAATCTCAAGTCATGCTCACTAAGCTCGACGACCCATCTAATAAGCTAGCCAAAAACCTCTAGCTTTTATAATATTTTTTGTAGCAACAAATCAGTAAAAACCATAATATGATGAGATTGAAAATAAGTTTTAAGCTTTTGAGTAGTATAAACCAGAGCAAAAGCTACTTTTTTAGTGACTGGATATCTTTTTTCTACCCCGTATAACACTTTGCTAGTGTAATAAATAGGCCTTTGCTGTTTATCCTCTTCTCTTAATAACACTAAGCTCATTGAATCGATTGTAATCCCCAAATACATATATAATTTTCCCCTTTGTATTGGATTGGAGAGTAAAGGTGATGAGGACAAATAGCATTTGAGCTCATCAAAGGCTTGTTAGCACTCTTCTGTCCATTGAAAGTCTATGGGATTTCTCAAAACCCAGAAAAATGGAAGGTACTTTTCTATTGGCCTAGCAATGAACTTGTGAAAAGTTGTGAAGTGACCTATTAAGTGTTACACATCCTTCATTGTTTTAGGGGACTCTAACTACTCTATGACTTGGAATTTGTTAGGATTTAGCTCAATTCCTTTCTTAGAAACCACATAACCTAAAAATTTGCTTGATTCCATCTTGAATGTTCATATTCAACTCTATTTATGCACAATGAAGATTTTGAAAAGTTTCATTGAGGTTTTTTTGGATGATCTTTAGCTTGAAGGCTGGTCACTATAATGTCATCCATATATGCTTTTGTGTTTCAATCGATCTAAAGTTTAAAGATATGTTGAACAAGTTTTTGGTATGTCACTTTAGCATTTTTTTATCTAAATGACATCATGACATAACAATAAATAGTATCTTCTGCATAGAATGCTATTTTTTCCTGATCGTCTAACCAAAGTTGCACCTATTGATACCTTGAGCTCGCATCTAGGAAGCTCATACACTCATGGCTCGCTACTCATTCTATAAGCTTTTTAACATTTGGGAGTAGATAAGGATCCTTGGGACATGCATAATTGAAGTTGGTAAAGTTTATGCACATTCTCCACTTAACATTAAGCTTTTTTACCAACACAAGGTCAGAAACCCAATTAGAGTACTCTACCTTTCTAATAAAGCCAGCCTGCAGTAATTTGTTTATCTCCCTATCTATTATAGCTTGTTTTTTGGGCTGAAGAGATAGTGCTTCTATACCGCTAACGTCCTTATGAGATTTGTGTTAAGTTTATGAACAACAGATTTAGTTAGAACGCTAGGAATCTCATCAAATTTCCATGCAAAACCATCTTTATTTTTCTTCAAAAAGATAAAGAGCTCATTATTCTCTTTATTGGTGAGTCGAGTTCCAATCCTTATTGCTCGATCTGGATCAGCTACGTCTAAAGGGACTATTTCAATGGGTTCTACGGGCTCAACCTTTTGCTCTACACTTTCAAGTCGATGGTCAATGTTGGAAATACTCATTGTTTATAAGCCAAGTCGACTAGGTTGAGGCAGTTAAGAGGCAAACACTCGTGGAGCTTTAGCAAGGTCAACTTTCTTAAAGGTATCCTCATAGCATTTTCTAGTCATCCTTTGATTCCCTCACAATATTCCTCTATTATTGGGAGTAGGAAACTTCATGCATAAATGTGGTTGGGAAATAACTACTTTCAACTCACATAGTGTGCCTTTTTAGATGATTGCATTAAAAGCAAATTTCATTTTCACCACCAAGAAATTTATAGAGACCATTCTATACCTCAGCTTTGTCCTTTATAAATTGGTAGAGTGATCACTCCCTTCACTAGAAAAGGCTAATTATCGAAATCATACATCAAGCCTTCATATTTCTTAAGGGAGGTTGGGTTCAACTTCATCCTTTGAAAATACTCCCAATACAAGATGTCTACAGAGTTGCTTTTGTTAATGAAAACTTTATTTACACTATGGTTTCCTATATGTATTATGGCCATAAAAGGATTCGCATGTAGCATAATAACATTTGATTCTCCATTAGGTTGTTTATAATTATATTAGCCAAATGTAATAGATGCATTTTCTCATTCAACTTCTTTACTAGGTCATTTTAAAAGCCTATTCTTGCTTAACGCCATCACTTGATGAGCATAAGCCTTCCAACCTTGTGCACTCTGACCACCTAATTACATTCCACCTGATATCCTATTCATGGTACCTGTTGGTGGGGAAATTCCAGTGTAGACTACTCCTTTGCTGACTTTGTGATTCTGAGTTGTTCTTCTCTATCCCTAGCCTCTTTTTTCATTGTGATGACCTCTAAAATTTCTACCGGCCTTAGTAAGGAATAAGTTTCCTTGATAAGTCACTTACCTAGTGCTTGTCTAATATCCTTGCACTTGAAGATAAACATAATCTTGGACAAAGTGCATTTTATTAGGCTGTTGGTGGGGAGGTTTTCATATGTATTCCTCTAATCTCCTATTTTGAGCTAAAAATTCTAGCTCATCTTTCAAATTTTGATAGTCTTCAGTACAGTGGCCACACTCACTGTGATAATCACAATACTTGCTTCTATCTCTCTTAGCTAGGTTAGATGGCATTGGGGCTAGTCACTTTATCTTGTGTTGCATTTGAGTTAAAATGTGTGACCTAGACAAGCTCAATGGAGCATAGTTTGCATATTTAGGGGTTGGATTGTAGCTATTTGGCTTTTCTCTCAAGTTGGTCACTTTTTGCTTCTTTTTTTCCTTTTTTACACCTTTCTGTTGCTTAGAGTCCTTGGTTTCTCTATTATTAGCCCATCATTTGGATGACTAAAAATCTTTAGACAAGATAAAACTTGTTAATCTGTCATTACCCTCATTCTATGTTTTAGGTGGGTTCTCGAATAAGTCATCTAAGAAGTGACTAAGCTTTAATC